ATTCGCGTCTTGCAGTAGCTGTCCTCAACATGTAAACAGATAGTCCACCCAACTACGCTTAGGATGCGTACAAATGGACAACCGGATGTCAAGAAGATATATAAGCTCCTCACGCGACGGAGAGTCTCTTACATCCCCCAAAGAAGAAGAATCCACGTTCGGAGAAAGCCCACAAAGACACAAAAAGATATTCATTGTCGAAATCCGTATGTGAATAAACAATTTTTACATATGAGATTTAGTCTTTTGTCTTGTCTTCTTATTAGTCATTGCAACAATAACATTACGACATTGTCGTCAAAATGATTGATTTCTTTGTTTAACGGCAAATTAACTACTTATGGGTCATTTAATTTTCTTGGGAGTTTTGAAGTAATAAAAATATGATATATGTTGTTCTGCTTCCACAACTGAATCCATGGTAGATGATATTCAGGTTTTGTGCGTATACATGTTTGTGGGACTTAATTACTAGAAGAGGTGATGCGTGTTTTATGTTGTAGTTTTGTTGAAGTTATACTGGAATACAGTTTGATTTCTTTAAGAAATTGTAGGATATTATATGGATGAATGTCACGAAAGAGTCATTTCATATTGTTTGTTTGGTTGGTTGATTTTTATCACTGGCATATCAACCATTATAGGTTATTTAATGCCGAAATCTAAATATTTTGAATATAATTTTATGGCTTCAAGTAAAAATATTTTGAATGCCTTCAAATACAGATAAAATGCTTGTCATTTTGCTATAAAATGTATTGTTGGTTATTTTTAGGTAAAAATGGATTACTGGTAATTTTTCTAGAAATATTTTTGCCATAAATATGTACCGGTGGTAATCTTATTATAAATATGTATTAGTGGTAACCTCACTATAAATATATATTGCTGATTATCTCACTATAAATATGTATTGCTGGTAATTTTACTATAAATATGTATTATTGGTATTTTTTATATAAAAAAATGTATTCCCGGTAATTCTCCCCATATAAAAATGCATTGCTGGTAATTTTTCTTAAACAAAAATCTATTGTTGGTAATCACTTTTTATATAAAAATGTATTGCTGGTATTTTTTTACATGAAAATGTATTGGTGGTAACTTTTTATATATAAAAGTTTTGCTGGTATTTTTACTATAAAATGTATCTTTATATTTTCACAGTGTTTTGTTTTTCTTAGGGGGTTTACTACTTGCCCATAGCTAGGACCCTAACAGGTGCTACCGCCTGGGAACAAAAGCAATTAACAGATGGTTCCACACTCCTCAAAACCTCCAATCTCCTGATCAGAAGCTTTACTGTCGGATGTAGTTTATCGTCTTACCCAGGACGCGGATGCAGTTTATCGTCTTATCCAGGACGCGGATGTAGTTTATTGTCATACCCAGGAAGCGGATGTAGTTTATCGTCTTACCCAGGACGCGGATGTAGTTTATCGTCTTATCCAGGACGCGGATGTAGTTTATCGTCATACCCAGAAGTAACGTTGAAAATATGACGGTGTTTTAAAATAATTTTGCAAATTTATTGTACTTATATAACATCAAAGCTTTATCTGTAATGTCATTTAAATATTAAATTAAATAAATGCAAAAAGAAATAAAAAAATGAACCTCTGTTTTGATCTTATGTTTGTTAATGTTGTAGACTTTCCTGTAGAATAATATGGCCACAGCCTAACCATCGTAGTTTTGTCCCTCTGGTCTAAATGTTCTTTTAACACAATGTTGGTTGTAAGAACTCAGAAAAATCCATTATATAAAAAGCATTTCAGCTATTTGTATGTATTATACTCATCTAGTGAGGTAGGAAATTCACACACGCATATATATATATATATATATATATATATATATATATATATATATATATAAAAAAAGTGGACGTTGAGGTCAACACCCACCGGCGACAATCTGTTTCATGTTTAAACGCAATCTTTGGCGTGAAGATTGTGTTTAAGTATGAAAAGACTTTCACCGCTGGGTATTGACTTCAATGTTCACTTTTATATAAGGTTCTATCCTGATATTCACCACTATAACCCATAAGTATAGCATACCTTAAAACTAGAATTATATATATATATATATATATATATATATATATATATATATATATATATATATAGAGAGAGAGAGAGAGAGAGAGAGATAAAGCATTAAAATAACAATCAACATTGAATGCTGACGGTCAGTTTCACCTCTCACTGTGATCTGGTCTCAAGAGGCATGAAACTGACTTTGTTGATTCGTACGCGCACACTGTCTATAACTGTAAATGATCTGTCTTCGGTATAGATCAATCTTCCCCCATAAATATAGCAAATTTATACACACACACACACACACACATATATATATATATATATATATATATCGTCTTCATTTAACATATGATGACAAGAAAGACGCAGATCCGAGTTAAAATATATTTTCAGACTAAAATCACACGTTAAATGATTAAACAGGGATTTGGGTTTACTCCAAGAATATAGTT